TCCTGGGGGTGGGGGGGGGCATTATTCTGAATAGGAACACAAGATTGTAGTCTCTGTCATAGCTTCTCAATGACTACATAGTATGGAGCGTTTTCTTAAAGACACACATAAAAATAACCTCATAGCTCTTCTGCAAGATAATATCACTCCTCCACAAAAAGTTCTAGAACCAAGGTCCTCATTCTTCCTCCAGTATAAACAACAACAATTATTGATTAGCCAATTGGCCTTATCAAAAACAAACAATGCAGACATAACATACAACATACATCTAGTCCTCTTAAAATAAAGTACAAATATACAGGTAGCCATAGATATATGCATCAACTATCCTCGTCTCCCCTACACTGCACCCCAATCTGATCTATGTACTCTTCCTCCAGTACATCACTAGCAATATCTACCATGAATAGTTAAGTGTAAGGACAAGGAAACGTAGCCAAACAATGTACACAAACTCATTATATTATAGCAGGGGCCAGCTGCGGATATTGGGCAATCACCCGTTATCTCTCAGGCCTGGAAATGACTACAGCTGCCATTTACATTAGTAATTTCTTCAACTGGACAAAACAAGTCAGAACATGTCCATATGAGTATTTGAACTAAGCAAGTGGAAGCTATTTCAATGCATACAAGCTATGCAGCAAACATGCTACAGCGAAACTTTGGCTGGTTCCATACCTATCATGTCAGTGACAGGAAGAGGAACACAATAACAATCTGAACAGTTGACCTTCTGTCAGGATGGGCTGTGTGAAAAAAATGTCCTCCAAGCAAATCAAGATCACAGAAAGTTGTTGTGCAGACATCTAACGTTCAACAGGGCCAGTTCAAAGAGATGTGCATCAGATCAAACTTTGTTATTTGCTCTAGGGAACACCAACACAATAACTCCTTTATATATATGGGGAATTCAATTTTGCAGCCCTGGGAGGTGGGGGACTATTTTGCAAAAGGAAAGAGAAGAGCAATATGTACAGCCAAAGGAAATGTCAGAGGTGCTCATTGAGTTAAATTTCAGAAGAAAGCAGTTTTTGAAAGAATTGTCTCTGATGAAAAGAAAGACAATCAAGGGCAGCATGCCAGGGCGAGTTGTGGCAAAAAGCCTTTGAACTTGGTCAGGGGCATCCTCTTTTTCATGAGTGCTATGCACATTCCTCACTTGAACCCCAGGACTAATGAAACATATAACAGGCCATCCTGAACTTTTATCTAGCTGAATCAAGATCCCAAAGGAAAAAGCAGGCAAGATGTGGGTCCCCACTGTCACAATGACAGAGGACTCCCATTATTAACTTAGGCCAAGATTTAGCCCGGAAATCTGTTCCAGGACCACATAGCATGTTTGAGCATGCACACAACAAATTTTCCCTCAACAATGAATAACTGTTCCATGCACATCTGGAATTGGCAAGCAAACCTTCCAGGCAGGCATCCAAGAGAACAGTGAATAATTTACTGAGGCAAGATATGATAATGTCCATTGTAGACAGCTTTTTTTATTGTACACAAATGTGAATGAGATGGTAATTGACAGTTTGCCATAATAGCGCCTTGGAAGGCCCGTGCTCAGAAGCAATGCATCCCAACAGAGATGCATCACCTTCACAACCTCAAAAAAAGGTAAAGGTTGTCCCCTGACATTAAGTCCAGTCATGTCTGACTCTGGGGTGTGGTGCTCATCTCCATTTCTAAGCCGAAGAGCCAGCGTTGTCCATAGACACTTCCAAGGTCATGTGGCCGGCATGACTGCATAGAGCGCCGTTACCTTCCTGCCAGAGTGGTACCTATTGATCTACTCACATTTGCATGTTTTCGAACTGCTAGGTTGGCAGAAGCTAGGGCTGACAGCGGAAGCTCACACCACTCCCCAGAATCAGCTCAGCACTTTAACCCACTGTGCCACCGGGGGCTCCACAATCTCAAAGCAACCTTCAAATTGAATCCAGCAAAATACATAACTAGACAGTGATCATCATCATTACTGATGCAGTTGAAAAAGCATAAGTGCAGAGCTTTCCAAGGTGTGTGCCATGACACAGTAGCGTGTCAGCTGCCATGGATAAGTGTATTGCATAAATATAACGGGAAAACTCTGAGTCTATGTGAGATAAGCAATAAGTCAAATTTTCAAGAATATAATTGAAAGGTTTTAATGAAGTATGTTGTGTCCCCATACATTTTATTATCACAATTTATGTATGTGTCCATATCACCTATAAAGAATTGGTTTAACCTCCAGTTCTCTTGTAGAACTGTACTACTGTGTCACGAAATTATACATGCCTAAAACGTATCTCACCAACATGCAATGTTTGGAAAGCTCTGATCTATGGGGTAAACATGCTTTGTGGAGAGCCAGGGCAAGCTGCCCACAAAATATGCCCTGGGAAAAGGAAACTTAAAATAGGTGTGAAACATAGTGCACACTTAATGAAATGTTTGGAAAGCTCTCCGTTAGTGTCATCTCCAGCACTTCAGAGTCAAGAGAACAAAGCAAACAACTTGCAACTATAACACAGAAAGAAAGACATTTTCTAAACCAGGGTTCCCCAAACTAAAGCCCGCGGGCCAGGTGTGGCCCTCCAAGGTTATTTACCCGGCCCTAAACTTTAGACTTACAGTCACCTTAAGTCTAAAATGCCTTGAAGTCACACAACAACAACAATCCCAATTAACCTGACTATATCACCAGCCAAAATCAGGCGAACACTTCCCACTGAATTACTGGTAAGTTTATGTTGGCAAAAATTGTTCTTGGAATCATAGAATAATAGGAAAAGCATTCAGGAAAAGCTCAAAGTATCCCTGACAGATGGCCATCCAGTTTCTGTTTAAAGATTTGCAAGGAAGGAGCTTCACCACACTTTGAGGCAGAGAGTTCCACTGCTGAACAGCTCTCACAGTCAGGAAGAACTTCAGGAAGAACATTAGGAAGAACTTCCTGACCACAAGAATACAGAATAATAAGAGTTGGAAGAGGCCATGTGGGCCAATCCCCTGCCATGCAGGAAAAGCACAAAGTATTCCTGACAGATGGCCATGCAGCCTCTGTTTAAAAGCTTCTAAGGAAGGAGCTTCCACCATTCTCTGAGGCAGAAAGTTCACTACTGAACCTTGGAGGATCACATCTGACATGCGGGTCTTAGTTTGGGGATCCCTGGCGTGAAGGATTTTTTCCTTTCTGTGTTATAGTTGCAAGTTGTTTATTTTGTTCTCTTAAGTCAGAAGTGCTGGAGATGCCGCTAATGTAGAGCTTTCCAAATATTTAAATAAGCATGCATGGTGTTCCATGCCTATTTTGGATATTGAGTCCAATCCCCTGCCTTTCAGGAACACAGAATTAAAGCACTCTTGACAGATGGCCATTCCAGAAAGAGCCTTCTGACAGAAACAAGTGATTATCTCATAGAATCATAAACTAGAGTTGGGAGAGACTACATGAGTCATCTAGTATCCCCCTCCCATGCAGGAAAAGCACAATCAAAGTGCCCCTGACAGATACTGCCAAACTGCAAATCCCAGTTATAGGAGAGTACAGGTGCTGTATATGGACCCTTCCACACAGCCATACAACCCAGAATATCAAGTCAGGTGATCCACAATATGTGCTTTGAAGTCGACTATCTGAGTCCATACTGCCATATAATCCAGTTCAATAGGAGCCCCTGGTGGCGCAGTGGGTTAAACCCCTGTGCCGGCAGGACTGAAGACCGACAGGTCGCAGGTTCGAATCTGGGGAGAGGCGGATGAGCTCCCTCTATCAGCTCTAGCTCCTCATGCAGGAACATGAGAGAAGCCTCCCACAAGGATGATAAAAACATCAAATCATCCAGGCATCCCCTGGGCAATGTCCTTGCAGACAGCCAATTCTCTCACACCAGAAGCGACTTGCAGTTTCTCAAGTCACTCCTGACACGACAAAAAAAATCCAGTTCAATGTGGATTTTATACAGCTGTGTGGAAGGGGCCTATGAGACTGCCCACACTGCAGAATGATAGCAGTTGGACACCACTGTAAGTTGCCATAGTTCTACCTATCCCATGTAATCCCATGGTTTGTAGTTTGTCATAGCATCCTAGAATTGGGCCATGCAGTCCAAACCCCTGCCTTGCAGGAACTCAGAATCAATGCGCCCCTGACAGATGGCCATCCAAGCAAGAGTCCTGATGGAGGAAGGGTGACTATCATAGAGTTCATCATCTTCTCCTCTGTGGCCCCCTGACTCTGGAGCTCATTGCCCAGTGAGATTAGGAAGGCCCTACCTTAGAAATTTTCAAGAGGGATCTCAAAACCTGACTTTTCTGATGCGCTTTTGGAGAGTAGCCATATTATCATACACAGTTGCTTCCCCTCAACAGTTTTTGTCCCCAGAGTATATTTCCCCACCTGTATGAAGGTCTATATTTATGACTCCGTTCCTTACGAGTTTCTCCCCTACAAACAATCTGCTCCATCCCTATCTCATCCTGATTTTAGTATTTTTCGTATCTTAAGTTTTTATCTTGCACATGCAGCCTGCTCATTGTTGTTACGTTATTTTATTTTACTGTGTATGATTTTGCTTTATCGTCTTTGTACTCATATGTTGTATGTATTTTATTGTGTTGTTATTGCGTTTTGGTTTTACTTTATTGTTATATGCTGTTGGGCTTGGCCTCATGTAAGCAGCCTTGAGTCCCCACTGGGGAGATGGTGGCGGGGTATTAAATCAAGTTTAATATTATTATTAGAGTTGGAAGAGATCACATGGGCCATTAGTCCAGTAGTTCTCAACCTGTGGATCCGCAGATGTTTTGGCCTTCAACTCCCAGAAGTCCTATCAGCTGGTAAACATCTGGGGACCCACAGGTTGAGAACTACTGATCTAGTCCAACTCCCTTCCATGCAGGAAAAGCACCATCAAAGCGCCCCTGACAGATCTCTCCAAAGTGCCAATGGGGCGGACCTGCAGAGGCCTCCGCCCCCCGCCCCCCGCCCCCCAATATGCACTCACCGAGGTGGAGGGTGAGGTTGATGGCGCTGGGGTGCTGGATGCCGGCCAGCATGGTCTGGCTCTGCCACCAGGTGGCGTCGGCCTGGTTGTTGTAGTCGGTGAGGAAGGCGGCGCCGTGGCGCAGGTGGGGCTGGGCGGCGTCGCACAGGTGGCACGACTTGGTGACCCCCGTGACGCCCGTCTGCACGCAGTACTCCTCGGGGGGGCTGCCGCACGTGTTGGTGGCCACCACCGTGGCGTTGAAGGCCGCGTTCACGAACTCCGGCATGCACCGCTGCGCCCGCCCGTCGCCCTCCTCCGCGCACTCGTCCATGGCGCCCGCGGAACGCCTCGCCGCCGTCGCCACAAGCACCGCCACCAGCACCGCCAACGCCGGCCTCATCTTCTTCCTCTGTCCGCCCGGCTGAGGGAGAGCCACGAAGAGGAGGAAGGAGGGAGAGAAGCGCCTCGAGTGTGGCCCGCCCGCGCGCGCGCCCGCCCGCCCCCGACTGGCCTCGCCTCACGGCTCTTCCTTCCCAAGGAGTCGCGCGCAGCAACTAGGCATGCCACTCACTCGCTTTCCCTCCTGCGCGCGCGCTCCCTCCTTCTCGCGCTCTCCCTCCTTCCCCGCCCTCGTCCCAAATGGGTGGGGGCGCCCGCGGTGCATGCTGGGAGAGGCGGAGAGAGCGAGGGAGGGAAGGAAGGAGGGGAGGGGTCCCGCGCGCTCTCTCTCCCAACTTCGCCGACGCAAAGGGCTCTGAATGGGAAGGCATCATTCCCGCCTGAGAACGCGAGGGGAGGGGGAGAGAGAAAGAAGGCCCTCAGGCCCAAGAAGAGGGAGCAAAGACAGAGTTAGGTTCTTGTGGGGTTTTTCGGGCTATATGGCCATGGCCTAGAGGCATTCTCTCCTGACGTTCCGCCTGCATCTATGGCAAGCATCCTCAGAGGTTGTGAGGTCTATTGGAACTAGGAAAGTGGGTTTATATATCTGTGGAATGACTGGGGTGGGGCAAGGAGCTCTTCCCTGCTGCAGTTAGGTGTGAATGTTTCAGCTGATCACCTTCATTAGCATTTGAAGGCCTGCCTGAGCCTGGGAAAATCTCTTGCTGGGAGGTGTTAATCTGTGCCTGGTTGTTTCCTCTCTGTTGTTTTGCTGTTGTAATTTTAGAGTTTTTTAATACTGGTAGCCAGATTTTGTTCATTTTCATGGTCTCGTCCTTTCTGTTGAAATTGTCCACATGCTTGTGGATTTCAATGGCTTCTCTGTGTAGTCTGACATGGTGGTTGTTGAGAGTGGTCCAGCATTTCTATGTTCTCAAATAATATGCTGTGTCCAGGTTGGTTCATCAGGTGCTCTGCTATGGCTGACTTCTCTGGTTGAAGTAGTCTGCAGTGCCTTTCATGTTCCTTGATTCGTGTTTGGGCAATGCTGCGTTTGGTGGTCCCTATGTAGACTTGTCCACAGCTGCATGGTACACGGTAGACTCCTGCAGAGGTGAGAGGATCCCTCTTGTCCTTTGCTGAAAGTAGCATTTGTTGGATTTTCTTGGTGGGTTTGTAGATTGTTTGTATGTTGTGTTTCCTCATCAGCTTCCCTATGCGGTCAGTGGTTCCCTTGATGTATGGCAGGAACACTTTTCCTCTGGGTGGATCTTCATCTTTACTCTCGTGGCTTGTTCTTGGTCTTGCAGCTCTTCTGATGTCTGAGGTGGAGTATCCATTGGCCTGGAGAGCCCAGTTGAGGTGGTTCAGTTCATCTTGAAGGAGGTGGAGTTCACAGATTCTTTTTGCATGGCCATCAAGGCTTTAATGGTGCTTCTTTTTTGACTTGGGTGATGGTTGGAGTTTTTATGTAGATATCTATCTGTGTGTGTGGGTTTTCTGTAGACGGTGTGACCCAATTGTTGATCTGGTTTGCGGATGAATAGGACATCTAGAAAAGGCAGTCTTCCTTCATTTTCTTTTTCCATGGTGAACTGGATGTTTGGGTGGATGCTGTTAAGATGGTCCAGGAACCTGTTGAGTTCTTCTTCTCCATGGCTCCAAATGGTGAAGGTGTCATCCACATATCTGAACCATATTGTGGGCTTTTTGGTTGCTGTCTCCAGGGCTTGTTCTTCAAAGTGTTCCATGTAGAAGTTAGCTATGACCGGGCTGAGAGGGCTCCCCATAGCTACTCCATCTTTCTGTTCGTAGAATTCATTGTCCCACTGAAAGTAACTGGTGGTGAGGCAATGGTGAAACAGAGCCGTGATGTCTTCTGGGAACCTCTGGTTGATGAGTGCCATGGTGTCTGCTACCAGGACCATGGTAAATAGAGATACCACATCGAAGCAGAGTTTCCTTCAGAATTCCTTCTCTCTCTCCCTCTCCCTCTTTCTTCCCCCCTTCTTTCTTTTTAACCTTCTTCTTGAGGGATGCCTCCAAAGTTTCTATCCCCTGTATTGTCGAAGGCCTTCATGGCCAGAATCACTGGGTTGTTGTAGGTTTTTTCGGGCTGTATGGCCATGTTCCAGAGGCATTCTCTCCTGACGTTTCGCCTGCATCTATGGCAAGCATCCTCAGAGGTAGTGAGGTCTGTTGGAACTAGGAAAAAGGGTTTATATATCTGTGGAATGACCAGGGTGGGACAAAGGACTCTTGTCTGCTGGAGCTATTATTTTATTATTAACTTTATTTGTACCCCGCTAACATCTCCCGAAGGACTCGGTGCGGCTTACAAAGGCAAACCAATAAACATTAAAGAAATAACAGTAAAACATCAAAACAATACATCATGACACATTTAAAACTAGCGCGGGGCCAAATGTAATGAATAAATTAAAAGTGCTGGACATGACAGGTGAAATTTAAGGATTTTAGGGTAGGTGCGATGTGCAGGCAATCTTAAATCTCTAATAAAGTGCGTTTGGGACATGATGCTGGGAGTTTCCTATTCTGGGAAGGCACACTGGAACAGCCAGGTCTTCAAGCTCTTCCTAAAGACTGCCAACGTTGGGGCTTGTCTGATGTCCTTGGGGAGAGAGTTCCAGAGTTGGGGGGCTACCACAGAGAAGGCCCTGTCCCTCGTCCCCACCAAACGTGCTTGCAACGCAGGTGGGATCGTGAGCAGGGCCTCTCTGGATGATCAAAGAGATCGTGTGGGTTCATATACCGGGATGCGGTCACGCAGGTAGGCGGGTCCCAAACCGTTTAGGGCTTTGTAGGTGAGCACCTGCACCTTGAATTGGGACCGGAAAATGAACGGCAGCCAATGGAGCTCCTCAAACAGGAGGGTTCACCTCTCTCTGTAAGGAGCACCAGTTAACAACCTGGCCGCCACCCGTTGGACCAGTTGAAATTTCCAAGCCGTTTTCAGGGGCAGCCCCACATAGAACACATTACAGTAGTCCAATCTAGAGGTGACCAAGGCATGGACCACCCCGGCCAGATCAGCCTTTATGAGGTATGGTTGCAAGTTGGTGCACGAGCCTCAATTGTGCAAAAGCCCTCCCAGACACCGCTGACGCCTGAGCCTCAAGCGTAAGTGATGAGTTCAAGAGGACTCCCAAACTGCGGACCTGTAACTTCAGGGGGAATGTAACCCCGTCCAGCACAGGTTGCCACCCTATACCCCGATCCGGTGTGAATGTTTCAGCTGACCACCTTGATTAGCATTTGATGGCCTGGCAGTGCCTGAGGCAATCTTTTGAGAGGTGATTAGATGTCCTTGATTGTTTCCCCTCTGTTTCAATGTTTCAAGGTGGTCAGTTGAAACATTCACACCTATCTCCAACAGACAGGAATCCTTTGTCCCAAGGCGTACGGCAGGGTTGTATACTCTCCCCCAACCTATTCAGTTTGTATGCAGAACACATCATACCATGTGCGGAGCTTGATGAATGCAAGGCAGGAGTAAAAATTGCTGGAAGAAACATTAACGACCTTAGATATGCAGATGACACCACTCTGATGGCCAAAAGCGAGGAAAAACTGAGGAGCCTTCTAATCAAGGTGTAAGAAGAAAGCGCAAAACCTGGATTGCAGTTAAACATAAAAAAAACCAAGATTATGGCAACAAGAATGATTGACAACTGGGAAATAGAGGGAGAAAACGTGGAGGCCGTGACAGACTTTGTATTTCTAGGTGCAAAGATTACTGCAGACGCAGACTGCAGCCAGGAAATCATGAGATGCTTACTTGGGAGGAGAGCAATGTCCAATCTTGATAAAATAGTGAAGAGACATCACAAAACCCACATAGTTAAAGCAATGATATTCCCCGTAGTCACCTACGGATGTGAGAGCTGGACCATAGGGAAGGCTGAGCGAAGGAAGATAGATGATTTTGAACTGTGGTGTTGGAGGAAAGTTCTGAGAGTGCCTTGGACTGCGAGAAGATCCAACCAGTCCATCCTCCAGGAAATAAAGCCTGACTCCTAATTGGAGGGAAGGATAGTAGAAGCAAAGATGAAGTACTTTGGCCACATCATGAGAAGACAAGAAAGCTTAGAGAAGACAATGATGCTGAGGAAAAAGGAAGGCAAAAGGAAGAGGGGCCAACCAAGGGCAAGATGGATGGATGGAATCCTTGAAGTGACTGGACTGACCTTGAAGGAGCTGGGGGTCGTGACGGCCGACAGGGAGCTCTGGTGTGGGCTGGTCCATGAGGTCACGAAGAGTCAAAAAGAACTGAACAAAGGAACAACGTCATGATCAGAATATGCACTTGGTCAAACTAAAACTCCTATTTGTCATCTTATACTTTATCAAGTTTCTAAAAATTTAAATTGTAATACAATTCATATTTTACAGAGTAAGGTTAAATTTGTTTTTAGGCACTTGACAGGAAAGCATATTTCAAAATGTAGAGATGATCAGGTATGAGTAAATTTGGAAGTTAGTAATTCTTTTGAGGAGCAACTGGAAAATAGTGGATTAACTCATTTAATGTGAATTAACTGAAATGCAGGTATCAATAAAACTTCTTAACTGCCTATTCTGTGTGTCTCATTTTTCAACACTGTACATCAGGGGTCCTCAAACTAAGGCCCGAGGGTCAGATATGACCCTCCAAGGTCATTTACTCGGCCCGCAGTTCAGGGTCAACCGAAGTCTGAAACTTAGGCACAAATCTTTACATCAGGTTACTTTACTCTTAATCTTCTTCCTCCTCTTCTTCCTCGTCATCCTCGTCCTCCTCTGGCTCTGCTTTCTTTATGTTAGCTCATAACAACAACAACAATCCTATCTCATCATCCAAAAGTAGGCCCACACTTCCCATTAAAATATTAATAAGTTTATATTTGTTAAAATTGTTCTTCATTTTAATTATTGTATTGTTTTTAAGTGTTTTTTCCATTACAAATAAGATATGTGCAGTCCTTCTCTCTCTATCACCACCTTGTGGCCTCTGTCCAGATAATGGAATAGTACGTATTAGGTAGGTAAGTAGGTAGTTAGACAGACAGACTTAGACAGACAGACTTGGCCATGAGTGATAGCTTATGATAAAGGTTGATTTGGCCGGGGTGGTCCATGCCTTGGTCATCTCTAGATTGGATTACTGTAATGCGCTCTACGTGGGGCTGCCCTTGAAAACGGCTCGGAAATTCCAACTGGTCCAACGGGCGGCGGCCAGGATGTTAAC